GCAGGAATCCATGAGTAAATACACGTGGGGCTGGCTGCAGCTTGGTAAGCATGTGAGCAATGCTAGTATGCTCTGTTGGGTAACTCTTATGAAACCCTTCTGCCTTCTCACGAAGGCCCTGGCCTTGTTTCTGGGTTTCTGGAGTACACAGAGGTTATCGTATCTCCACAGGGAGTGCCTCCCCAGCCACATACTTTCTCAAGGCCCTCTGACCCCTGCAAAGCCTCCCGGACTTCACAGATACTAGGGCAGCACGGCCTGGTCTCTGATAACACAAGTCAGAAATAACATCTCGTCAAGAGCTACAGCCCTGAGAACAGCCACTTGCAACATGCCTGGTCTTGCACAAGATGCTCTATCCTGTTTGCGCCGCAGGTCAGCTTAGGAAGGGGGCATTATGATAACCTTACTTTCCATGTGAGGAAATGGAGACTGCACACGGTCATATGTCACCTTCCCCAAAGTTCGTAAGTGGAAGAGGCAGAATCAGGAGGTCTGAGTCTTCACCAAGAGATTCGGCGGGCTGAGGTTAGAGGCACACTCCCCATCTACCGATATTGTGCTTGTAAAGGAAGACACAGTTTCATTTTTTAGAAAAATAACCTCTATGGTAATTACTTGGAATAGGCACTGTTAAGCACCTCGCAAATAGTAATGGATGTAGTTACCATGATTAAGCCCATTTTACAGATAAGGAAGCCGAGGCAAAGAGAGGTGAATTAACCTCTCCGGGGTTACGCAGGTAGGGATAGACCACAATTTTTAATCCATTCATCAGTGGACAGGCATTTTGTTAGTTTCCTTTTTTTCTGCTATTATGGAAAACGTTTCTATGAACATTGGTGTACAGGTTTTTGTGTGGACATACGTTTTAATTTCTCTTGACTATATACCTAGGAATGGAGTTGCTAAGTCATCTGGTGGCACTGTGTAACCTTTTGAAGAAATGCCAGACTGTTTTCCAAAGCAGCAGTAACTAGTTTGTCTATAATAAGTAAAAAAGATGAAGTTTAGGCAAGACACTCAAACTAACTTGAGAAAGAAGGAGGATCATTATGAGGATGTGGGGTGTCTTGAGGCGCACGCGTGAAGGAGGTCACTTGTTGGGGTCTCCCCAAAACTGGGATGCTGTCATGAGCCAAGAAGGTGGCTCTCCTACTCTGGCTGATACTTCCTGATTTGAGACTCTGCTCATATTTGTGGCTTTGCCTCTTATTATTCTTCGGAAGGACTTGGCCTATATCTCCTTGCGCATGATGGAAAGCAGAACCCTCTCCCCCCATTAGCTCTTGAGTTTAATATCCTCCTGGGTCAAACAGTCATGAAGATTGCATGACATCTTGCAGCCAGAATTCCACATTTCTGAGAGGAAAAAGCTGGTTGATCCTGGTCCAATCAGCCACAGTCAAAGGGTAGAGTTATATAGGACAATTATAACCTTAAGTACTCCTATGGGGAAGAGGCAGCCGTCAGCATCACGGGTGGATGCACACACACAGAAGCCATAGAATATACCCAAGTATTTGTGGGATGCAAGGCCAGAAGGGCTGGAAAGGGCAGAGTTCATGTTCTTCATCTGAATTTGGGGAGCAGACGATGGACTCCAGGTTTGAATGCAGGTGACAGTTTGCATCCCTCCGTGGTCCGCAGCTTCAAGTAGGTGGATGACCTTTTCTCACCTGCCTCAGCTCCTTGGAGAGCAGCAGATGCCTTGGTTGGGTATTTATGTGCTACTTAGAGCTGGGGCCGTGGCCTTCGTCTCTGCACTGCAGAATGGTTCTCTCTGTGCAACGAAAACTTTCTGGCATGCTGACATGACACAAGGGGAATTAGGAACTTTAAAATCCATGGCCCTGTCATGTCCAGCTATGTCAATAAGAAGGCAGAGGGCCGGGAGTGGCTCAGGCCTGTAATCCTAGCATACTGGGAGGCTCAGGAAGGTGGATTGTTTGAGCTCGGGAGTTCGAGACCAGCCTGAGCAAGAATGAGACCCCGTCTCTACCAAACATAGAAAGAAGTTAATTGGACAGCTAAAAATATACAGAAAAATATTAGCCAGGCACGGTGGCACATGCTTGTAGTCCCAGCTACTTGGGAGGCTGAGGCAGGAGGATTGCTTGAGCTCAGGAGTTTGAGGTTGCTGTGAGCTAGGCTGACGTCACGGCACTCTAGCCTGGGCAACAGAGTGAGACTCTGTCTTAGAGGAAAAAAAAAAAAAAAGGGCAGAAGCACAGGTGTTGTGCATCACAACATGGGAGGGGCTCTCTGTGCAATGCCTGGCCTCACCCAGCATCCTGTGGATACCCAAGCTCCAGGCACACTTTTCATTCCAATCTGGTTCTAAGTTAGTTATTTCCAGGTTAATTCATATCCTTCCTTGAGGACCACAAGGTGATCATTGTGGAGCTGGCTTCTTCATTCCTCCCTTCTCTGCTCACACAGATAAAGGAGAAGGTGGCTGGTCCAGTATGATGGAGAGCCGTGGACTTGGATTTAGGATCTAATGAAGAGCCCAGGTCCATCCTTACCATCTCTGAGACCTCGGCCTCTCTCGTTTTCAGTTTTCTTATCTGTACAAGGGAGAGATAATCTCTACTGCAGACACTGGGGAATAATTTTATAAGACAGACTTGACCACCAAGGGATATTTAGGGGATTCCAGGGAGAGGCTGCACAGCATTGTGTCTGGTATCTGGCCTCAGCCCTGTAGACCCAGAAGTTGGATTTGTCCAGCAACAGGTCCATTTCTTTGGGGAAAAGCCCCTTTTTGCTGGGCTCAAAAAACATTATCCACATACATTATTCTATATTAGAACCAGAATTCGAATGAATTAGGCACCCTTGTGTCTGCCTTGATTGATGCCATCTCCTCCTCTGGCCAGGCCTGGGTGGGAGAAGAGACCAGGTACATGCAGGGGCTAGTTGCTAGGTACTGACACACATGGGGATTTAAGAACGAAGGAGATGGAACAAAAGTTAAATGCAATCGATGATGGCAGCCAGATGCATCTATTTCGTAACAGGGGTGTCAGAAGAACAGGGTGCCCATACCTTTGGCTCGCTCTCAGGCAGTGTCTGCAGATGCCAGCTCTGCTGGCCTCTCTCCTGCACCTTTTCCTATACTTACGGGGCTGGCCAATCTCCATTATAATTGGCATGGCCTTTGAAAAAAGAAATTACGCAAGAACACTAATGACTTTCCTGTAGCAAAAGTGGAAAACATTCCAAGACAAAGCCCCCTTCATTCTGCTTCTCCTCTGAGGGGGAACGACTGTTACCGTTTTAGTGCCTCTCCTTCCAAATTCTCTCCTGTACATTTCTATACATAGGTAGATATAGAATTGGCTCCCCTTCTTTTTTAATTTGCATTAAATTGGATTCTATTAATACGTGTTATACTGTAACTTGTTTTGCTGCATAAAGCATCTTGGAGCAATATCCATGTCAGTTTGTATAGTTCTATCCTATTTTTTTAAATTGCTGTGTCATTTTCCACTGTATGTACCTTAATTTATGTAACCATTCTCCAATTCATGGGCATTTAGGTTAATTTCTTCCTCTGCTATTATATGCAGTGCTATAAAGAACATTATTTATGTGTCTCTGAATATATTTGAGTACTTCCTTAGGATGCTGAGATTTTTTTGGGTCAAAGGATTTGCACATTTAAAGTGATGGTCGATCTTAGTCCTCTAGGCATTTACTGACAGTGCATGTAACTCTTCTGGCCAGATTCCAGGCAGGTGTCATTAGCCTGCAAGTCAGATCTCCAAGCTGATCCTTGAGTTGATTCTCTGCATACACTTTGGTTTTCCCCATCACCCAATTCTTCGCAGGGAAATGCCTGACTATAGCCTCTGAAAACCGATAAGAGAGATCCCTCAAGGCTTACAGGGCAGATCACATGACATAGCCAACATGAAACGATTTCTCATCATTAAATCTGCAGAGACATGTCAACTGTTATGCCTATATTAAGGTGTGGTTCAACGGGTGATTTTATGTCCACGTTGCCTTCAACTTTGCAATTGTAGACATCTGTGTTTTGCACTTGCTGGTGTAAAACATTTTTTTCAGGGTCCATAAGGTCCTCCCAACTAGATTAGGTAAATTCCCATCTCAAATTCTGAGAGGCCTAGCACGTATCTTACGTATCACATATTGCTCTGTTTTCACAAAGTAATGCGCTTGGGGCTTTCTGTCTGGTTTCTACTGTATCTTTCTTTCTAGGGTTGATGTCTGCTCATTGGCTTTGGGCAGGCCATAGATTGGGAAAAGGTCTGGGCAGGTGAGAAGCACAGGTGGCTCTGAGCTGCCTTCTTTTATAATCCAGAATGAACTGGCCCCTGGGGGCAGCCTCTGTTTTTGGTCCACAAAGCAAAACCAAGTCCTAAGTATTATTTTGGAATGAATGTTCGACTGAAGGCTCTATGGTAGGTGTCCTCAAACTATGGCCCACGGGCCACACGTGGATGTTTTTGCCCATTTGTTTTTTGACTTCAAAATAAGATATGTGCAGTGTGCATAGGAATTTGTTCATAGTTTTTTTTAAAAAAACTATAGTCCGGCCCTCCAGTGGTCTGAGGGACAGTGAACTTGCCCCCTGTTTAAAAAGTTTGAGGACTCCTGCAGTCTATGGGGTGCTAGAGGTTTCATCAAATACTACCCAGTAGGAATTAATTAAAATATTTCCATTAGATGTCTTGGTTTTCCCTCCCAAGTTCTTATTTGGCCACCACCACTCTTCCTCTGAGCCACCACCACTCTTCTCCTTCCCTCTGTGCCCATCCTGCCCTACCTCCCTTTCTGTAAATGGAGCAATGTGTCTGCCTTGATTTCTCCACCCATCTCCCCACTCAGCATAGAATGAAACTTCCTTGGGACCTCTGTCCGTGGAGAGCACGGTCCATCCTAGGCCACATACAATGTTTTCCTTACTAAATCATTTCTCCTGTCACTTTGGCTTGAGTTCACTCCCTCTTGCCTTGACTCATTTACAGGTGGCGATTCCGGGATCGGCCATGGTCTGTGCAAGTACCTGGACAAGCTGGGCTTCACGGTGTTTGCTGGCGTTCTGGATGAAAAGGGCCCAGGGGCAGAGGAACTGCGAAGAACCTGCTCCCCACGCCTCCTGGTGCTCCAGCTGGACATCACCAACCCGGTGCAGATAAAGGACGCTCTTGGCAAAGTGGCAGAGAAGGTGCAGAACACAGGTATGGCCTTCCGCCGCCCATGCCTGGCCCTTCACCCTCCTCCCAAACGCCTGACTCTGTTCCAGCCTGGGAAGCCATGCCCTCATGCCACTCAGGCCGATGACTGCCCCTTGCGACACCTGCACTAAGCCCTTGCCACACCTGCAGGGGCCTGCACAGACGTGAAGACCTGAGGCATGACTCAGACACGTGTCCTGTCCTCACAGGACTTCCAGAATTCTCTATCCCATCCCCTCCACCGTCTTCCTGGTCACTCTCTCATGCATCACTGCCCCCTGCCCCCTCGTTGCTTTCCTCCCAGTAATATTAACATGCTTTAGGATTTCCCAGCATGGGGAGAAACAGCTTCATGTCACTGTCCTGCTATACTCACTTCCCTTTCTCTTCTCCCGCCATCCTGGCCAAGCTCTTTGGAACCCTGGAGCTCTCTGTTTCCACGTCTTCGCCTCCATCTTGACACTGGCTCTCACCATGCCCCCTCGCTGCATTGCCAGAGCAAATCAGCATTATCTTGAAGCCCAAGTTCTGGTACCTAAACATGTGGACCCCACCCACTCCTTGGCTTTGGAGTCCCCTGTCCCCTATCGGCCTCTCAGCTCTTTGTTTCTGACCTAAGATACTGCCATGTGGCCCGGGCATTGGCGTTTGCTAAAGCTTCCCAGGTGATCCTAATGTGCGGTTAAGATTGAAAACCACTGCCTGGTTTTCAATGGCAATGGTTCTCTAGATGTGGTCCAAACCTGCAGTATCAGCGTCACCTGGGAGCTTGCTAGAAATGCAAGATTCTTAGGCCCCACCCAGATACTCCAAGCCAGAATCTCTGCAGGTGGGGACAGCAATCTGTGTTTGAAGAAGCCCTCCTGGTGCTTTGGAATATCAGCAACAGGTCAAGGGGTTCGTGCTGGTTGGGTCAGGGAATAAGACTTGGAGACTCTGTTGGGGACCCCCAAATCATCAGAGGTCTCGGCACTTCCCCTCTAATTTTCCTGCTTCTGTAGGGGATCTTTTCTAGTATGCGGATTAGGAAAAACAGGCTCTTATATCATCCTGCGTTGTTGTAAAGATATTGTACTGTCTCTATGTGCTCCTATGAGGGAGAAATAGGAGGCTTTTGAAACTTCAAAGCCAGCCAAAGACTGTCATCCCTTCCCATATTCAAGGCACATCTAGCTTCCTGGATGTAGGAAAAAGCTTTGAGGCAATAGAAAAAAAAAAACAAAAAACAAAAAAAAAAACTCCCCCAAACCATTGCTTCATACTTCACAAATTTACTCTTCACACAACTCTCCAAGGTATGGCGTTTTAGGTATCCAGAGAGACTGAGATGTGAGCGTTTATGATCTGCCTAGATCCTAAATCTCAAAAAGGTGTGTCTGACTCCAGAGCTTGATGTGTTAAAAATCCTCACGATTCTCCAGTCCTGCACAGCCTCAAAGCTGTTCCTTTCTGCCCCCAGGACTGTGGGCTGTGATCAACAATGCCGGGATCCTTGGCTTTCCATGTGATGGGGAGCTCATTCCCATGAGTGAGTACAGGCGGTGCATGGCGGTGAACTTCTTCGGCGCTGTGGAAGTCACGAAGGCATTTTTGCCTCTTCTTAGGAGATCCAAGGGGAGGCTGGTGAATATGAGCAGCATGGCAGGTGAGTCGGCCTTTGCCCCATGGCGATGGGGTGCCTGACACAAGACGGGGCTCACCGTACTCTTTGGGGCTGAACAAGAAAGCAGGACACGGAAAGGCAGGTCTGGGTCAGGATTACTTATATTCACTGCTGACCTTAATAGGACAGGACCTTTCTTCTTTCACATCCTTTTGTGTACAAACTCTTATCTGCCTTCCAACTCATCCATGCATTACTGGAGATTTAGGGTTCTTATATATCTTCACCACAGCTGAGCCAGGATGCACCATTGGACCGGCTGTCTCCATTTCAAAGGACAAATAGTCAACAGCATGACTCAGGGGCTTAACAATCTCCCTTTCCATGAACAATGTCCATGCATGGGATACCATACCCCTTCTTCTAGGACAGACATTTTCAAACTGGGATTCTCCAGGGCCTTACTGAGCTTTGAGAAACATCCATGGGATTGTCTTTCGGGTCACGGCGTGGGTGAGAGGGCAGCCGAAGGGATGGGCTCTGGATTCCAGGAACCTGCCTTCAAATAGAGGAACATGACTCTTCACTGTCGGATCAATGGATTCTGAGTCATATTTTCTTAAATAAAGAGCGTAAATCATTGTTTTTTGTTTCATTGGTTCTTGTGTTTTTGTTTGTTTGTTTGTAATGTGAATAATGGTTCTAGAAGAAATTCTTCTAGGGGGATTCTTTGTATTTTCTTGACAAGTATTGTTTTGCCCACCACGTTCCCTTTCCAGCTCTGACTTGATGGCTTCCTTGAAACTAACTGCTGTGTGGCTTCAACTACAGGCATTGGTTGGCCTGAGGCATAAGCAAGGGAAGGAGGGAAAGAGGGAAGGAAGAAGGGGGCAGAGAGAGAGAGAGAGAGAGAGAGAGAGAGAGAGATTCCTCTAAGAGTCTTCCTCTAAGCTGGTTAGGAGCAATGAGTATTACATCTTAACTTGTCTGAGAACCCCAAAGCATTTCCAATCCCTTGCCACCTTGCTTAAGCAAACGAATCCCAAGGAATCTCAGGTGCCATATTTCATCCCTGTCTTTGTTCTGAACATAGTCCTACATAGTGACCTCAGGGGAAGCTTCCCCCTTTCTCAATTCCTTGCAACTGTCTGGTGCATCTGGGAAAGTCTCATGTATTCAACAACTATTCACTATTAATAAAATAACTGATCTTCACCGCCTCCTTGGCATATTGACAAGGACGGTTTTCCTCTTGTCTCTCTTTGTTTTCGACTTTGAGCAGCTCCTTCATGCATAAGATTTTACTTGAGTTGTTGCTAACGTACAGAGTATGTGCTTTAGGCCCAATGTCTGGCATGTAGTAGCAGCTCAATTTTTTTTTTTGTGAGACAGTCTCACTTTGTTGCCCAGGCTAGAGTGAGTGCCGTGGTGTCAGCCTAGCTCACAGCAACCTCAGACTCCTGGGCTCAAGCAATCCTGCTGCCTCAGCCTCCCAAGTAGGTGGGACTACAGGCATGTGCCATCAGACCCAGCTATGCAGCTCATTTAATAAATGAAGAAATGCAAGTGTGTGACTGAGCGAAAAATGAAAAACAGATGAATAGATGGGGAGCAAAGAACTTCCATTGTAGAGGATGACTGTTCATATATCTTTAGCTTGGTCTCTAGAGGACTTTCCAAGCCAGATTTCTTACTGGGTTGTCATACATTCCCACTGAAGGGAACCATTGAGTGTTCAAATAAATCCACATTTCACTCTTGTTCTCCCCCCCTGGTTGTGCAAAATGCTTTATACGCAGCCTCCCTATTTCCATCCCACTTTTTTAGGATCATCACCAAGTTAACAAGTCTGAAACGAAACCTGCTGCCAGCCACCCCAAGCTTGCTCTCCTGAGTTCTTTCTGTCCTCTGGTCTTCTGTGTTCCAGAGATTTGAGTCTTCTTGGACAATCTCATCCCTGTGTCTCTCTCCCCCTCTTCTCCCATTCAGGCACCAAGATGTATGGGATCCGCCCTCACTCATCACTTCCAGCTTTGAATTCTCATGTCACAGAAAAACTCTAGAAACAAGTTCATTTGTAGGACTCAGCATCCACCCCAAGGCATTTTATGAAGTTGTTAAAACAATAGCAAGAAATCACAAGAGATGGGAGGCACGGGTACTTCCCGTGGGCAGGGAGTTTGTACCAAGACAGAATGATGACAGTTTCCCTCTGTATTAGTTTGCTAGGCTGCCATGGAAAATACTGCAGACTGGGAGGCTTAAATAGCAGAAATTTCTTTACTCACAGTTCTGGAGGCTGGAAGCCCCAAATCAGGGTATCAGCAGGATTGGTTTCTCCTGAGGCCTCTCTTCTTGGCTTGCAAATGACCACCTTCTTGCTGTGTCCCCACATGGTCATCTCTGTGTGTGTGTGTGTTCACCTCTTTGATGTCTCTTGCTCTTATAAGGATGCCAGTCTTCCTGAACAAAGGCGCCCCAGCCTTATGACCTCATTTAACCGTAATCACTTCTTTAAAGGTCTATCTCCAAACACAGTCACATTCTAAGGTCCTGGGGGTTAGGACTTCCAACATATGGATTTTTGGTGGGGGGTGCAATTCAGCCCCTGACACCCTCATTGATGAAGAACAAAGGAATTCAGCAGAGAACAGAGTGAGGGAGACTCCCTAGCACTTGCTGGAGAGTTTTGTGAAATAATATAAAAGAGATTTTGAGCAAGAAAAAAAAAAAAAAGCTAGAATGTAACACAAGGAGTAAGAAAGTCAAGGGATGTGTAAATGGCAACATATAGCCAACAAATTCACAGAGATTAACATCCAATGTGATGCTGATTCGACGATGCATCACTTGGCAAAATTAATATCGTAGCAATTTCAGAAAACCTGCATATTTGGGAGTTCATCACTGTTATTCTCCTCATTTTGAAGCAAGGAACATGGAGGGAGGGAGAGGCAGTCAATCACTGCTAAGGGTTCTCCAACAGGAGCGCATGGCTGCTCTGCTCCATTGGATTGTCTTGAGACTGGTACCTCTGGTACCTTCTGAATCGACAGGAATTTTGGTGGTAGAGATTTATCATGGAATTTGGACCAGCCAGGAAAGGCTGAGCTGGAATTGATAACTCTGTTCCAATTATTCGTTGCCACAGAGCAAATAACTCTAAAGAAACTAGCTCAGGCTGCTGTGAGTAGGCAGCTGGTCTGGTGGGGGGACTAATGACCTCCCAATGACAAATGACATCCACATCCCAATCCCTGGGTTTACCTTATGTGACAAAGGAGACTGTGAAGATGTAATGATGTGAAGGACCTTGATGGGGAGGTTATCCTGGCCTGTCTGGGTGGGCCCCATGCAATTTGCAAGGTCCTTGTAAGAGGGAGGCGGGAGGCCAGAGGCAGAGGCAGACTGGGAGATGGTAATTTGCTGGCTCTGGAGATGGAGGGAAGGGCCAGGAACCAAGGAATGCTGGTGGCTTCTAGAAGCTGGAAAAGTCACGGGAATTAATTCTCTGCTGGAACCTCCAGAGGAAACACAGCCCTGCTGACACCTTGATTTTAGCCCAGTGGAATTTTTGACCTCCAGTGTGTAAGATACCAAATTTACATTCTTTAAGCCACTAAGTTTGTGATAATTTATTACAGCAGCGACAGGAAACTAGTACATCTGGTTGAGCTAGATATCAGATCAAATACCTTTGGGCCCATCTCAGTTTCCTTACAGGTGGGGTGCATCCACCCTTTCTCCATGTTCACCCCCTCCCAAACATTGATATTCCTTCCAATATCCAATGTGGGCTGTTACATCCAGGCTCACTCTGCCCCAGGCCTTCCAAGCACTGCTGGGGGACATCCAGGCAGATACCCATCTTAGCAAGGCGTCAGTTCTTGCTGCAATGATAAATGCATGTTTTACAATCCCAATTTGCTTTTCTCCAGGTTAATCTTTAATTATCTTTGATTTATAACTTATCACATGCACCTCATTACTTATCCCAAAGATTTTCCTTTTCCCCAAATTCAAAGTCCATCCCTCCCAGTCTTATGTAACCCAGGTCCCTGTGGATATTCTCTCCTCATTGTTTACACCATGTTGAATCAACACTTAACAGTTTATTGTGACCCGTGAGAGAAAACCAAGTCCAGAAAACATGGAATTTATTAAAGGTTCTGTCGAAAGATGGAGGAGAGGGTGTAGCCCATACCACAAAGCGTGTTTGAATTAAAATCCCATTAGATGCTTTTCTTTCTCCTTCCAAAGGTCTTCAGTTGCTAGCCACCTCCCGTCTGGTCACCTCCCCATCCCTGTCTTTCCTGGCTCCCAAATGTTCCCTGTTTCTTTCCTTCTTCTCTTTCCATCTCTTTTTCTTCCTGCCCAGCAGGTTCATCTACCAACCACCTGCTCTCAGCAGCTCAATAAACATCCCCCACCCCCTCCCAGGAAGGATCTGCCCTCCTTAGAAGGCAAGAGGGGTGCAGAGCAGGAGAAAGGATAATTATGATGAATCGTGTTCACTGATCACAGAGTGGGTTTGCCTGCTTTATTCACCTCCTGTCTGGGACTGTCACGCACAAGCTGAAGCCATCCTACATGAATGTCCCTGACTTCTTGACTCTTCTTCCTCCTTCTCTCCTCCCCCAGCTCATCCTTTTCTTCCTCCCCTACCCAGCTAGCTCCTTCCCTCTCCCTGTGCCCTGATTCCACCCCAGGTCGATTCCTTAACTAACCCTCAATCCCTTCCTCTCTGAAGGGGGCTGGGAGGCAGGAGGGTGGGGCTCTCTCCTCCACTTCCTGGTTGGGTGGCCACCATCCAGAACTCCTATAGCCATGTGGTCTCTCTACACTCCACTTTTCTTCCCATAAAGTGGAGGAAATATGCCCACATAGGTGTGTTCTGAGGCCTAAATGAAAGTATTCACGTAAAGTTCTCAGCGTGACTCCTCACATGTACTATCCTTTCCCTAAAGGGTACGAGTCATTATTATTTCTATTAATGGACACTGCTCTGCATCCCTTTTTTTTTTTTTTACTGTGAGACAGGG